CTTTCACTGAAAAAATAATTAAAATTATAGCCTTGTATTGTATTTGTTATATCTTACCATGTAGATGGTGATCGTTTTGGACCACAATTACCACAGAATCTTGTATGCCATGAACCACGGTTGAAATGGCTTAACATTTTGCCTCTATCAAACTTGGATCTCATGTGCATTCGACATTCTGTTAGGTAAGTTGTCAAATTATCTATCTAATTGCCACTTTTCTTAACCACGTTTAGAATTAAGGATATATCCTGACGCATTCCACTTTCCAAGTTTAATGGAAATAAATCTGAACCAAGCCGTGATTCCACTGTGCCTTTAATGCTGTTCCATCTGATCACACAGGTACCTGTTCAGTATAATCATTCTCCCCAATGTCTAAATAATTTTCTTCTCCTGTTTCGGTTAACTTGCTTTAACAACTTTGCAAAATTCACTGCATCTAGTATGGTCTCCATATACATGAGATTTAGTGTTTCTGATGTCAAATTCTATTTTTTTTTTGCAGCATTTCTTTTCTCCCGAGAGATCATGCGAATTGCACATCTTACAGGTCGATACCTCTTCTGATGGACTGTCAATACACGAGGGTATCACCAGGCCAGTAGCCAGTATTTCGGAATTGGCATGAACATACGGAAATTGTTTGATTAAAATTTGCTGTTATAAAATTTTTTAAATTAAGGAATATATCTCCCTCGTGCAAGGCTCTGATTACTTGTCCGGATTTGGCTACACTTTAGGTTATGTTTGGTTTGATCTGCTCTTCAACATTTATATTAGATTTTTGATTTTCAAATATGTTGGCCTCGATCATCACTGAAGAGACATTAATTGTCGAAATGCGCATCATCTGGAGCACTAAAATTGGTACCGTTTATGTTATTACAGCGCTTGTGATTCTGATTCTTGTTCTCTTGCAAAGGTTTCCTTCTTATTTGTATGATGGGGTCTCAACAAACAGTTTTTTCTAGATTTGACCCCATACATTTGCATGTTTGATTCGCATATTATATTTGTCTACTTGCTTCCCCTATACAATGTATACTGGTGTCTTCTGTTGTATCTGAGCAAACACAGAGGAGTTACTATTGCCAATCAAATTCATATACCGTATTCCATGTTTATTTGTTTTCAGAAATCCTTTCAGAGATTCCATCGACTGACTAGATCAAACCCAGTTTTTGTAGCATTCGCGTGGTTTTTCGTCAACTCGCAAACCTTTTCCTTTCTTACAAATATAACAAAATTATTTTCTTACTCCAACATGAAGATTTGTTATCGGTTTCACCTCTTATAATTGTTGATCTTAAAATTCAGGCAAATTCTAGTGCTTCTACAGCATTTAGTTCTAAGTTAACTACATACTAATTATCAGAGATTTATTAAGCAGCTGCAACAAAAGCACATGATATGCGTGTTTTGTGCATATTGAAATTGTTAGAATTAAGTGAAATATCAAAAGTTATTAAAACAGCTCTCAAGAAAACTTGCATGGGGATGTTATAAGTCAAAAATGGTCTACATTCACCAGTATAAAGTTTGTAATACACTTGGCCTTCTCCTATTGTCTGTTCTGTGGTCGGGTTGTTGTCTCTTTGACACATTCCCCATTTCCATTCTCAATTTTACTTGAACCAAGCATACTGGACACTAAATGGTGATATGTTTTAATTGCCTTTGTGTAGTCTGACAGTTTAAGTCCCATTACTATTGAAGGACGGATCATCAAACAAATGGAAAACAACTGTCATATTCCTGACTTGGTACAGACATTTGCTTATGTAGGAAATGGTGGATTAAACCTTGTTTTATGGCTAGGTAAACCTCTCAGTCGCATAAAATTCCATTATATTGACAACAATGTTTGTGCAAAACAAACAGACATAATAGGTAAAAATGTAAAAAAAACTAGAGTACAGCAGTCAATCTTGTAATTATTCTTAATCACTATAAAAACAAATAACTATTTCAACAAAGAAACACGAAATGGCACATAGACACTCTATAGGCAAAGTACATCAGCAAAAAATTAAAGACCAGAATACAAAATTGACCATAGCACACTAACACAATGGCGGGATGTATAAGTACTGAGCCGCGTCAAAAGTATATTACCAAAAATGGACTGAATAGAAAAGGTTGAAAATGTAAAAGGACAAATAAAAAGAACCCAAACATACGGAAGTTAGTCTGGGGTATGTAAATCTGATGGTTAAAGTCATGGAATAACACGATTAGAAATTACAAATATCAAATAAGAGTTTTCTTCCGTCAATCTTAATATTAGTTTTTGACATTTTCATGAGAATTGGTTGAATAAAATTTCATAGGACCGAGGATCCTTGGATCTGCCTTTTGTTTAAATGTATACCTATACTCTAAAATTTCAAAACTGACCCCTAGACCGCTCACATATCAGAAGGAGTTAGATAATCATGCCATTTCTTAAGATATGACCTAACGGTATTGCAGTAAGGGATTCAATGTAACAAACGACGCATTAGAATTAGATGAAAATTTTACAGAAATCCATAGATTGTGCAATGCATGTAGTAGAAAAATTGGCCTCCTCATCACCTTACATTTAAGCAAAAGAAAAGCTTTCAAAATGACAAAAACCGGGTTTCTCGCATATTTGGTCTTTATGCATATGCAAGGTATGGTCCTTAACTGTATAGGTAGTTTATCATTCCATTAGTTGTGCATCTTGTTAAAATGATGAGATTTATTGGAGAAACAACGTGTTGTACATAACGAAAACATATAAAACAATTATTCTGTATTTATGAAAACAATTCGAGAGAGTATATGTCTTTGAAGTTTTTGATATGAGCAGCATGTTAGATATTTTGTTTTAAAAGCTTTTGTACCTTGATGGAGACGTCTTTTGACTTTTTGTAAATTTCAGTATGACAAGAACTCAGACGGCCTACATCATGTACACATTATGAAAGCTATAGATTATTGATGCATCATTTTGAATAGTTACACTGAAAAATTTGTAATCCCCTTAATGTAAATCACACAAATATATGATAGCTTCAGTAAGACTCCAAAGTGCCCATCATAATTTTGTTGTCTTGTAATGTATATATGTATTTAATGAATACCTTTTATCTCATCTGCAATAAACATGCATAAGTCTACTGTAAATTTTTTTTCCACATTTGCACTTACACCACAGTGAGATCTGTCTTTATTTTTCAGATGTGGAAACAGCATCCATTAATCATATAGTGCTGTCTGGAATAAAACTGCTTTAATCACCTTTCTTGTATGAAAATTGCATCTAGTTCAAGAGGGCGACCCTCCTTTCTATATTTATCAATATGTTTGTGTAATGATCTGGATATGTGACAAATATTGCAAACATTCTGATCAACGGTAATTGTCTCCGTATTTAAATCTAAAAGATTGAGTAGAAATGTCACACGATTAAGTACCACGTAGACCATGTGACTTTGGATACGGCCTTTACTAGAGAGGCCAGGCCTATATAATTACAGGAACATATAGTGTATAATTGACTTATTTGTAATGATCTTGTCAAGACGAGCATTTCAAGCCCTTTTTTTTAAAAATCCAATGTACGGTTACAAAGTTATGATCGATTCAAAGTTGATGTTCAGCCCCCCTTTTTTCTCCAAGATGGCCGCCAATAAAAACAAGTGGATTTTAATTTTGATAGGCATATTTTGTGGCAAGTAGCAAGTACTTTGCCTTTAAACACCATTTTCTATCAGAATACAATCCATTCTTTACAGATATTCATCAATACTCATTTACATATGTTTTAATAGATTTTTTTCAGCATCCAACAGCCTAGATTACTCCCTTCTGACATTGCACAAAATGCCTGAACAGCCATGTTGAACCATATTTTTCTGTAAAATTACCAATTAATGTATAGTTTACACTATACTAACTATAGAACCTTGCCTGTTTTGTTGAATTATGAAAACTTTGTGTGATAAAATGGAAAAAACAAAGAGTCATGGTCTCTAAACATGTAGTCGCTATAAATTTTCCTGAAAAATCTAAATTGCACCATAAAGCAGCTTTTATTGACAAGAAAACAGACCAAAATGATCACATCTCTTAAAACTGCAATGTATTGGGATGAAATTTGAAATTCAACATTGTGAAATCAAGATGGCCGACGTTTTGTCAATTTTTACCCGAGAAAACCACGTTTTCCTTCATAACTCGGTCATTTCTTAACCGATTTTGAAAAATCTTAGTACCAAAATAATGGTCTTTAATCCATCTTTTCATTGCTAATGATGCATATTTCATTACTGCTTTCAATAAAGAGCTTCACTGATTTGATTCATAATGTACAGCTTTTAAAATATACGTTGCATAAAAACTGTGCGTAATCTTCAAAGAAAACATGTTGTTTTGATGTGGTGTGAATAAGTTTCAATAATTGATTTTTTAAATGCTGATTCACAAGGTAACAGTCCTATCCTAATAGATATTTTGATTGGCCTAGATAAAAAGCATACTAAATGCTACATTCAAACTAAATAACCAGTATCCTGCACTTATTTAAACTTAATCTAACCAAAGATACACCAAATACTAATTTTTAAATCTTAATATGGATCTTTCCATTTAATATCCAATAACATCCTGTATGCTGAACCAAAACAGTGTGATATTTCCAAGGGCTATGTCCATGTATACTCTGATAATGATATGATTTTCAGGAATATTAATCTCTTGATATTCAATTCTCAAAAAGAGGATGGCTTAAATCAAAACAAATTCATATTACTTAAGATTTTATTAACAAGAAATTCAGAAGATGCAGTTTGATTGACAGTTAGATAACTCTCCATCCAAGACATACAGAAATGTTAACTTAATTAAAATGCATTTAGTTATTTCCCATAACCTCTTATAAACACAAGCAACAATTGAGTGAATCATTCCTCAACTGACCGACCCTGGAATCTAAAGAAAGTTTAATTATTAGGTTCCTGAAACATTATTCAAAATTTGTTGGTGCCTGAAACATACAAAAAAATTTAGGTGCCTAAAACATTATTTTTTTTTCTATCATTTAATGAATAAGACTATAATCCATACAGCATATTGTTTTTCTTTAATTGTTTAACATTTCTTACCGATATAACATGTTACTTTTATTATTCTTCCCTTAGTTTATTTATTTTGTATTTACATTGTGTCATAGGTCAAATTTATTTGTTCAGTGTATGTTCAATGGTGTTAATATGTCTTTTGATTGAGTTAAGCTATTTCAGTTGATATTTTATAGTGTGTCTTTCTATGTTGTGATGTTACACTATTGTGACAGAAAAAGGGTGAAGGTTTGGTACCATTAAAAAGTTTAAACCCGCTGCATTTGTTTGCACCTGTCCTAAGTCAGGAATCTGATGTTCAGTAGTTGTCGTTTGTTGATGTGGTTCATAAGTGTTTCTCGTTTCTCGTTTTTTATATAGATTAGACCGTTGGTTTTCCCGTTTGAATGGTTTTACACTAAGAATTTTTTTGGGGCCCTTTATAGCTTTCTGTTCGGTGTGAGCCAAGGCTCCGTGTTGAAGACCGTACTGTGACCTATAATGGTTTATTTTTATAAATTTTGACTTGGATGGAGAGTTGTCTCATTGGCACTCATACCACATCTTATATCTATTTAACTATAAAATGTTGTCCAGGTTGTGGCCAATTCCGAGATGAATCACCTATTTAATTTATTAAACTGAATGTTCTGTTATTACTGTCTATTAAATTTCAAATTCAAAGTAATAAACTATGTCGTCTTGTACATAACAATCATCCGTATTTATTAAAGCGCACACTTGAGCAAGCGCCTCCGTAAAGGGTAATAGAGAATTTGCCATGGGATAGAGTAAATCGTTTTCCTCGTATTAACCAATCAAAATCTGGCATTTAGACATGAAGTTTAATAATATTAAATGTGATTTATGCTTTTTTGTGCTTCTTTGTTAAATATTTGTTTGTTTTTGTTGTGATTAAGATTGTGACAAGGTGTTGACTGCTGTACCCTTATTTTGACATTTTTACCTATTATGTCTGTTTGTTTTATTCACGCATCGTTGTCAATATAATAGAATTTGATGCGACTGTCATACAAGTGAGAGGTTTAACCCTATAAAACCAGGTTCAATCCACCATTTTCTACATAAGAAAATGCCTTTACCAAGTCAGGAATATGACAGTTGTTGTCCATTCGTTTGATGTGTTTGTGCTTTTAATTTGGCATTTGATTAGGGACTTTCCGTTTTGAATTTTCCTCGTAGTTTAGTATTTTTGTTATTTAACTTTTTCCAATCACCATTATTTTTTACATGCAAAATTAATATGCTAAACAAGAGTATAAAATTTTATTCTAAACTAAACTTGTTCCAATATATATTCAAAACAACATTTAAATAAAGAATTGAATGACCTACAAAAAATTAAACAATGAAGTATTAATAGTTGAATTTCAACTGAAGTATGTTTCTGCATGTTTTTTGTACTCCTCTGAAACTTCTGCAAAATTGGTAACATATCAAGACCTTTCACTAACATCTTTTGGTAATACACCAACATCTATGAAAAAAAAAAAAAAAATCAACCTTTTGTCTATCATTAATTTCAGGCCATTTGAAAAGATTTTTTGTTTTTTAGAAGGATGTAAACATTTAATATCTAAAAAAATATCATTAATACATAAAATTTGTCCAGGATACCATGTATTTGCATAAGCAAGCCACTGCAACATATTGTTCACACTGACAATTTAAGTTTGGTAAAACATAGTCCCTGCTATGATCAATATTATTAATAGTAATATTAGTATTATTACACGAAATTACAGAATTTATAACTGAACACTCATTTCCTCGTGTTTTTTTTTTTTTGTAACAGGTTCTTGAGATACAAAAACATCTTTCAGATTTTTTGTAACATTATCTCCCTTTGTTTTTCCATAAAAATTAATCTATCACTTGCAGATTTTATTATAAAATTTTCATTATCATTTGAAAAATCTTCATTCTCCATCTCTTTTCAATGACTTGAAAATTTAATTAAAATCTTTAAATGAGATAAAAGTTCTTCAAAATTAAACTGTATATTATTTGCAGAAAACTGAAGCAATGTTTTATCATCAGTGTTTGTTTTTAAAACCTTTTTGTGAAATTTAATTTGTGTTTTAACAGCTTCTGATTTATCTTCACTTCTATTATACATTTTTTCAAGTTTTGATTTAAATTTTTCAAATTAAACCACAACCCTCCATATTTTTAAATTTCCATTGTCAAGGTTTTAACTTCCTCCTGCTTTTTCAAAGCTTTTCTCTCTTTTTCTTCTTTCCTTTGCTTTAATAAAAGCATATGACTTTTTTTAATTTCCTCTTTTCTTTTCCTAAATTGTTTTATAATTTCTGGAGTTTTCTCCTTTGCTATTTTAAATACCTCCGCTTTTTTTCTACACTCATGCTGTCTAACCATTTTAATGTTTTATTATTTGAAAATAAAATTATGCCTTCTATTGCGATGGTGTAAGCCTTAGGCTTTTCGCGCCTCAAGCGGTCCAGATTAGCAAAATCTCTCAGAAACTATATTTGTTGTTGATACAGTTCTTGATTCAACACGCAGATCTTTATGTACACCTTCTGTATTTTCGTTAAAAATACCACCAGTTAAACAGTCAGAAAGCTGTCTTTCTATCATAATCAAACAATTATTAAAATAATATGAAGAGCCTCAATGGTTTAATTCTTCATCAGTATCATTATCAATAAATAAACTATTAAAAACTTCATCTTTTTTGGTAAATTCTGGATAAAAAATGTTCCCTTCAATTAGCTCTAAAGCATCCTTTGAAAGGAGTTCAATAGTATTTTTTGAAAACCAACCAAACATCATTTAAATCTAAAATATGCTCAATATTTTCTATAATTCTCCATAAAGGACCAGTAAGAAGCTTATCTACAATACCTAAAGCTCTACAACCTGCTAAATATACAGGATGGTTTACATAGTTATAAACAGCACAAAGCAATCTTTTTCGGTCCTCTTTATTAAAATAATTCTCAATAAATAATTTAATATGATTTATATGATGAAAAACACTTGCACCCATTGAAAACAGTAAATTTATTATATGCCCATGAAAAGTGGTAAGTTGCAAATCAACAGGAGGTTCCAACTGGTTTAAAATGTTTTTTAAAGTATACCATAACCAGATTTTTCATCTGCACCCGGCACATACAGCTTTGTAGAAGCTCTGATAAAATCACAAGAACTAGGACTAGAATAACTACTACAATCATCCGATTCTAAAATATTTTGTTCCCATAATTTCAAACCAGACTCAGCCTGAGTAGCAACATTTACAAGTACATGCAGGTTACATTTAAATCCATTAACAGCTGACATCTTTTTAATTAAATCTATATCAGTATCATCATCACATGGTAAACATTCTATTTTCATTTTTTCTAATAATGATTTTAATGACTGATTTACAATATGGCGATCAGTCATCATGTTTTTAAAATAAAATAAGTTTTTGACCTACTTTCTTTACATGTAGTATCTGAATTTTTTTCAAGTATTTTTGACATGTCTGCTAATACAGAATCTATTAAAGACTTAAAGCTTTCGGCATCTACACGAACCATTTCATTTATACCTAAACTAAACTGAACAGAAGAGGTTCCAACCTGAACACCACCAAATTCATGACCCCTCTTTTCGTACCATCGGTATGCAGTGTATTGAAATCACTGGTAAGCATTGCCTCAGCTGCTTGCATTTGAGCAAGAGCTTTAGCTTCAACAAGCATTATTTCGGAAAAGGTCCGTTTTGGCAACCTTTCTACTTTCAACCCCCTTAACTTTTCTAAAACTGTCCTAAACACCTTTTCCACATTGTTAACACCAACATTTAAACTTAGTAATAAACCTCTCTAACCGAATCATTATATTTCCATTATGGAAAGTCTTAACAATTTGGTTCAATTCAAAAGACATTTTAAATTAAATTCATTAACTTCCTCCTGTAAATTCATATTTTCATTTTCTAAATATTCAATTCTTTCCTTATTACTCTGAATTGTTTCCTTTAAATCAATAGTCTCATTCAAGTTCTTTGTATTTTGTATTTTTTTTTTTTACTTTCAAAGATTTATAATATCTCATTAAAGCAGACTGAACTTTGTATTTTTACCTTATTTCATTAGCTATCAATTTTGTAAACAAGATTTCTTTTTTTCAATTTATTATTATCCTTTTGAAGGCCAATAATTTTCTTTTTGTTTACGCTTTATGCTTTTGTTAACATTACGTACAGACAACTCAGATTATTTATTTTCACAAACATGATGTTTTTTCTTTAATCTTAAATTCTCCTGTTTAAGTTTGTAAATATTTACATTAAATTACAATCTCTCTGTTCTTGATTTAGCAAGTTTTTTTCAGGTCTGTGACTATTTTGTTCTTTATTCTCATTTTCATTGATATGTTTATTTTCAGAACCAACATTTTTGGTAAATTTGTTTGCTTTGCCTTATTTTGAACAATTTTCCTTTCAGGTGCCAAATACAGCGTGTTAAGATATTGCCTTTTCCTTTCGTTACTCTATTTATGTTGAGAAAGCTGTCTCTTATACATAAACTCCAACTGATTTTGTAGTGCACCCATATTTGGGGCCACATCTAAACTACACAAATAAAAAACCCATTGTGAACATTGTTTTACAGTAAATCCAAAACTGACCTTTGCCTTCCTAAACTCTAAAATAAGCCCTTTCTTAATTTGTTCAGTTTTAATTGGAATTTCACAGGGATTTTCTAACCATTGAAGCGTTATCCCTACTTCATTATAGAAAGGACCTAAATTCTTTAGTTCACTTTTCAGATTAAGTGCAAACTCTTTACCAAGTAACTTATTTTTTTTGACAATAACTCTAACCCTATTTCTTATTTTCCTTACAAATGGCGAAATCTTTACATTGTTATACTCTAAATTACTTA